AGTAGTTTCAATTAAATGATGAGATGTGAGGAGCCAGTTTTCAGAAGGTTAAGAAAAGAGAGAGGAGAAAAAAGCAGAGACATAATGTGTAGATGGCTTTTTTAAAGGAGCTTGGCTAATGAAGGAAAGAGAGGCATAAAATAAGAGATGGTATGGATGGTAGGCTCTACTGAGGAGTTTTTTTTAAGGCTTAGGGAAATTTGAGCATGTTTATAGACATCAAGGAGGAAGTACTAGATAGGAAGAGATTGGTCACTAGAGAGAGAGAGAGAATGATAATAAGGGCAACCTGTTAGAGAAGAGAAAGGGAGATGGGAAGAAGTGGTTGAGATGATATCAAGGTGTTGTGAGATGAGGGGAGAAGATGGTAGTCTAGTTCAATAGCCTCTGTAGGCAGACAGTCCAAAAATAGGCCCACATTTGAAAGCTTTCCAGGTTGCTGGAAACTTCCAGAGACTGTACCTCATTAGCATGGTCTTTTGTTACCCAGCATCACCTCCCTGCTGCTATGTACGAAGAATCATAGAATTGGAAGAAACTTCAGTGGCCAAAATGTCCAATCCATACCTGACAAAGAATTCCTTTTATGATATCATTCATCTTCTATAACTTCATCTAGTCCATACCTGAAAATTTCCTCTGAGTACCCCTAAGAGTTTGATAGCATGATACTTGGGTTACAGAGGTGTTTTGGACCAGGAGAGCCTTCTTCAAGACTCCTCACATTGTACCAGTGGTACCAATAGGTAGTCCTGACAGGCGTGGGACCTAGCAGACTATAGGGTTACAGCCACAAAATGTACCAAACCATCTACTACATTTAATTTCCCAAAGCAAAATATGCTGTTCTATGTCACCCTTCTTCTCCCTCCCCCAACCAACCCTGCCCATCTCTCTGCCTTCCCCCAGCCTGAGGTCATCATCTTTTCTTCCTTTTCTAGAGATGTCTAGGGAGGAGTCATGCTGATTTTTATTTGCTGATCTGTAAACTCTAATGGCAAAGTCTTTCCTTTGCTGTGATCATTATCCATTTGCCCCAGGACTAATAAGTGAGGGATATATTCAGTTATTACCATTTTTTAAATGTCTAGTAGAGTTCACAGAAACTGTGTATGTAAGGGGGAAAATATTTACAAAGTGTCTTTGTGACCTCTTATTCTTCCATTAGTATATGAGACCAAGCCCCAGCCTTACAAATACCAATATTCATGCTACTGCCACAATTATTCCAAACAGCCTATTCCCCTGGGTGAAATTATTATTTGGAATAAAAGCTGAATTCTGGCTCCCTAAGCAAGTATAGCAATAAATGAGGGTAGTGATTCATAAGGCGACTCTCGTGTGTTTGCAAATGGGCAACTTTTATTGAAGCTGACGCACAGAACAGAAGCTCTATATTACCTTTTCTAGCTGGTAAGCACTTTCCAGCCTGCTTCAAAATCTTTTGAAGTTGGGTTGAGGGGTGGTGATGGTGTTGGTAGTGGTGGTGGTGTCTATTGCTGTGGGAGGGTAGAAATAGGCATTGGTGTACAGCACAAAGTTAGACCTACAAAAGGCAGCAATAAATCTATGGAATTAAGTTATCCTAGTATCAGTAGTTTTTGAGAGGAAAGGTAAGTAGCTACATTTTAATGGGGCCTTTTAAGTGACAGAGCTATTGCCTCATTAAGAGTACAGAACAGGAATTTGTATTAAGCAGTTTCTTGCCAAGGGATGGTGTCTGTCTGTTTTGTGTCTGGATTTGGGAGGAGTACTAATTTATCAATAGAGTTCCCACAACCTTTCCCCCCTTATAATCCCCTAATTTTTCTCAAAGATCTAATTCTCCTACTTTCTAACTTGGAATAACCCAAAAGAAAGTTCTCATAATTGGTGTTGTCCACGAAATCTTCCTTCTCTGACTACAAGACTAAGTTCTGAAAAATTCAAAATCTCCCTTCCTCCTCAAAGGAACTGGATTTCACAATATTTTTTTTAACCTTCTCAGGCCAAGTACAAGCATACATCTACCTCTTTCACATGCTTCAGTGGCAAGTTACTATCAACTGCTCCTGGGGGTGGGGGGAGGAAACTACACACAGACTTAGGTTCCTCATCCCCCTAAGCACTCGTCTATTTCCTCAAAAAAATGCTGTCTTTGTTAAAATGTGACTCGTTCTTACCCCAAACTTGATTTTTTATTCATATGTGCATATATGTGTGTTAGATAGCTATATACACACATGTATATACATACATATAATCATATACACATTGTTTAAGTACATGTGTAGTCAGAGGCAGCCTAGTGGACAGGAAAGAGTACATACACTAAATATGGAGTGGAAAGCCTGGATTCAAAACCCAGATTAGCTTCTTTACTAGCTGCATGACCTTGGGCAGCCATTTAACTTCTCTCTCCCAATCTCAGTTTCTTCATCTCTAACTAAGTTGGACATTTTCAAAAGCCTCTTTCAGCTCTGAATCCTGTGAGCACTTGAATGATCTCTTAAAGAACAGAAATAAGGAGGCCATCCAGCATCATATTACCTATCAGCAAAGCAGTAATTAGATGTAACTCTGCCTGGTACAAATTCAATATGGCGCAGGGATAATGGTGGTATCATTAAGGACAGTCTGACTGTGTGCATAGTTGTGTCAGGAGGTAGGGAAGGGAGGGGAGTGAGAAAATAATTAAGTGCCTACTATGTGCCAGTCACTTTGCTAAGAACTTTTTACAGGTATGTTTTCATTTGATCCTTACAACAACTTTTCGAGGTAGAGGCTATTATTATTCCCTTTTTACAGTGGAGAAAATTATAGCATATTTGAGCTGGCAGGTGACCCCATGTGAGGTAGCACATTACCCCATAGAGTTTAAAAGTGGAAACTGGAAGACAGAAGTATTAGACAGGACTTTAAGTATGGTGGCAGCAGCAGTAGCATTTAGGTCCCAGGTCACCAGAAAACTAATGGCAGAAACAGAGAGACTGTGGTTCCTAAGAGAAGGAAGTGTAACTATCTCATCAGCACGCTATGGAGAAACCCTGTTTTCCCCAAGTCATTCACAGATCTGTTTATCAGTAGATGTTAGATTCCTTGAGAACTGGGAGGATAAAGCCATGATAGAGTCTATGAAAGGACTGAAAGTATGAAATTTTCCTAGAAAGAAACACCATGTTCCAATTCATGATCCAAGTCATAGAATCATAGATTTTCAGCTGGAAGAGATGGTAGTCGTTACTGAGTTCAACTCCTTAATTCAACCCCTTAAACAAAGAAACTGAGGCCTAGAGTAATTAAATGTCCTTACACAAGAAGTGGCAGAAACAGGATTAAAACTTAGGTATTAAAAGTCTAAATCTATCTCTCTACTATACCACAGAACACACTTTGGAGGCAAGACAGAGATCTCTTAGTGATGACGGAAGATATCAGGGGTGTGCTGATAAATGTTTAACAAGCAGGGTGAAATGTTCACAGGACTCACTTTTAACTTTAATTTACATTATTAATATTAACACCTACCCATGTCTAGACAGTCAATGAAACAACAACCAACCCTTGATTTGGCGAGTTTGCTGATTTTTGAGATGCAAATGTTCACACTGAAAATTTAACAACCAGCTCTCCTGAGCCGGTTCATGATAATTCCAGCATACCCTTGTCTCAGGATAGTGAGATCTCTGCTGGGTACCTTTGGCACATTAACAGACTTCTCTCCAGACAGGGTCCGAAAGTGACAAGCAATGATTTCTTCTATAGCATTGTAACAGTTAGCCAGGACCAGGTTTCAAGCCTTAGGGTAAATTCCACTATAGAAGATTAGCATGTCAATCAATCAATAAGTTGTGAGTGCCTTAGCCCCAAACAAATGACCACACATTTATTTTATAGATATTTCCTATATACTTAGATACATGCACATTATCTCTCCCAACAGAATTTATGCTACCATGTTCTATTTTTGCCTTCGTATCTTCAGAGCATAGCTCAGTACATAGCACATACTAGATACTTACTCAATGCTTATTGACTGATTAATCGATACTAGGAACTAGGACTAAATGAAGTGCTCCTAATCTGGGATCCATCCACCTCCCAGGGGTTTGTTAATGGAACACATTAATTTTTTTTCACTATAATTGGTTTCCTTTATCATTCCAAGTATTTTGTCTTATGCTTTTAAAAGCATTATTCTGAATAGAAATCCATGGTTTTCACCAGACTGACAAAGAGACCTCTAACCCCAAAACCAGTTAAGAATCTTTGGGCTAGGTGGCCTGTAGCACCCCTCCAGCTCTAACATTCTATGAATTGATAAAAGCTAGTGCCCATTGCTTTGAATCGCCACCAGGAGAATCTCTCTAATTACAAGGTCTGAGTCCCAGCAAGTGCATCTGAACAATAGTGCAAAATGGAATACAACTAGGGATGTGCCACCCCCCCCCAGCTGTCCCTTCCTGCCCCCTAACTTTCACCACCAATGAAATGGTAAGAGGAATCAGAAACAAATGTATTAACTTACTGTCACGCTTGAACTATTGTAAGGTGATAACATAGAGGACCACTAGTGGAAACATTTGAAGCTCAGGTGATTCCGTCCTATTCAGACAAGGTGTTTGTAGGGAAAGGCGGTGCTTAAAGGACAAGCCGTGAAAGGCAGCTCCCAGCATAGTGCAGGCTGAGGAGTTCTTCGGTACAGTGGCAATGAGGAAAGTATTAGCCAGCCAACTTCCTGATTATTAATAGGTGGACTCCACTGCAATGAGTTAAAACAAAACCTGTGTATATTCAGCAAATGAAGAATTGGACCATAAGAATCAGCCTCCCACCCCTTACCCCATCATGTCTCTTGTCAGTCATCTACAGATGAAACCTTTGCTTTCTTCCTTTTATCCCCCATTTGTGTGTGTGTGTGTGTGTGTGTGTGTGTGTGTGTGTGTGAGTGTGTGTGTGCACACGTGCTTTATTTTATTTGTGGCTTAGCTTGAATTCCCTGTCTTTCTTTTTTATTTCAGCCACGATTTTCTCCAACACTCACTCAAGCCGCAGTGGAACAGCTGCTGGGGCTGGGCCTCCCCCACATCCCATCAGTCACCCTTCTCCGGGACATAACGTACAGGGGAGCCCCCACAACCCCTCCTCCCAGTTACCTCCTCTCTCCGCTGTGGACTCAGGAACTGAAAGGTAAGACCATCTGTCTCTTCCTCCTAAGCAGTGACACAGGCAAGCCTCCCTGCACCAAGAAATGATTTGACAGTTGCTAAATTTTATTAATAATACATTGGTGGGTTGATTTACCCAAAGGTGACATTTAAAAAGTACATACACATTTCACAAGAATCCAGTCTGCTCATTCTCTGGTTGTTTTTTTTTTCTGCCTGTTTGGGGGGGAAAAAAAGATATTACTGACAGTCACCTAAAGTGTCTGTTTCAGGGAAAAAAGCAGCAGAATTTCCCTGTTGTTTCAACACCTCCGGTTCAGTTGTCACATATGTAGGCCATGTTAAGATGACCGTATTTGACTGTTGATCAGTTTAAGGTTTTATTTTGTAACATAAAAGAGCACACTATTTCCAAAGGTTTTTGAGAGGATTGCTAATCAAGATATTATAACTCCCTATCCACCGAAGTCCTTTCCTCTCTTCCTTTAAGGCTCTTCTCAGATGCTACCCCAGTGGGGGGACGGGTTCTTTGACCCTCCCAGGTGTCAGCAATCTTTCCCTCCTGAAATGTCTTTTAGCACTTGGACTCCTTCCCTCAACTTTCCCTTGTATCGCAGTCATTCCTATATTGATTCTTCTTGTAGGTTGATTGATGATTTCTGAGCCGCCCTCTTTCCATAAGGTTGTAGCTTCCTCCTTGAGAGCAGCATCTGTGCCATATCCGTCTTTGTCTCACCAGTGCTCAGTTCAGAGTTTTGCACACAGTAGATGCTGATTTTAATTTTAATTGAATTTTAATTGAATTGAAGTCTATCACAAAATTGTATATAATGGAATCCAATCCCAAAAGCATCTCAGTGTCTACCATGCACAAAGTACTACAGAGACCAAGATAATATAAAAGTGGTTGCTGAATTCAGGGAGCTTACATTCCAGTATTTTGATAGTCTGCTAATTGGTCTCCCTGCCACAAGTCTTGCCTCACTCCAATCCATCCTCCATTCATCTGCCAAAATGATTTTCCTAAAATGCAGACGAAAATATGTCACCCCTCTACTCAACAAACAGTTGGCTCCTTATCACCTCCAGGATTTAATGTAAAATCTTGTTTGGCATTTAAAGCCCTTCCCAATGTACTCCCCTCCTCCCCAATATTTCCAATATTTTTACACCTTATACTGTCACCGACACTAGAATCTTTGATCCAGTGAAACTGGCTTCTTTGTTATTCTTCAAACAAAACACTCCATTTCTCAACTCTGAGAGCTTTCAGTGGCTGTCCCCCATGCCTGGAAAGCTCCCCTTCCTCATTTGTATCTCCTGACTCCCTTCACTTCCTTCAAGTCTTAGCTAAAATCCCATTTTCTATAGGAAGCCATTCCCATTTCGTCTTAATTCTAGTCCTTTCCCTCTGTTAATTGCCTACAGTTGATCTTTTTATTTTATATTTCAAATTTTTTTCCAATTACATGTAATTTTTTAACATTTTTTTTAGAGTTCCAAATTTTCTCTCTCCCTCCATCCCTTCCCCCTCATTAAGAAAGCAAGCAATTTGATATAGGTTGTACATGAGTAGTCATGTGAAACATATTTCCATATTAGTCATCTTGTGAAAGAAAACACAGACCCCCCCCACAAAAATCCCCATAAAATATAAAGTACAGAACAGTATACTTTAATCTGCATTCACCTCATCAGTTCTTTCTCTGGAAGTGGATAGCATTTTTAATCATGAGTCCTTAAGAATTGTCTTAGATCATTTTATTGCTGAGAATAGCTAAGTCGTTCATAGTTGGTCATTATAAAGTATTGCTATTACTATGTGCAGTTCTCCTGGTTCTGCTCACTTTACTTTTTGCAACATTTCACATGTCTTTCCAGGCTTTTCTGAAGTCTGCCTATTCATCATTTCTTATAGCACAATAGTATTCCACTACATTCATATGCCACAACTTGTTCAGCCATTCCCAAATTGATAGGCATCCCCTCAATTTCCAATTCTTTGCCACCACAAAAAGAGCTAATATTAATATTTTTATACATATAGGTCCTTTTCCTTTTCCTTTTCCTTTAATCTCTTTGGGATGCAGACCTAGTAGTGCTATTGCTGGATCAAATAGTATTCACAATTTTAGAACATTTTGGGCATAGTTCCAAACTGTTCTCTAGAATGGTTGGATCAGTTCACAACTCCATTGACAGAGCGTTAGTGTCCCAATTTTCCCATATCCCCTTTAACATTTGTCATTTTCTTTTTCTGTCATATTAGACAATCTGATAGGTGTAAGGTGGTACCTCAGAGATGTTTTAATTTGTATTTCTCTGATCAATAGTGATTTAGAGCATTTTTTTCATATGACTATAGATAACTTTGATTTCTTCTTCTGAAAACTGCCGGTTCATATTCTTTGACCATTTATAAATTGGGGAATGATTTGTATTCAAATAAATTTGACTTAGTTCTCTATATAGTTGAGAAATGAGATCTTTTACAGAAAAATTTACTGTAAAATCCCCCCCCCCATTTTGTGCTTTCCTTCTAATCTTGGCTACATTGGTTTTGTTTGTGCACAACCTTTTCAATTTAATATAATCAAATTTATCCATTTTACGTCTGTAATGAGCTCTTGTTTAGTCATAAATTCTTCCCTTATCCATTGATCTGACAGTTAAACTATTCCATGTTCCTCTAATTTGCTTATGGTCTATGCCCTTTTCATCTAAATCTTGTACCCATTTTGACCTTATGTGGTATATGATGTGAGATGTTGGACTATACCTAGTTTCTGCCAAATTGCTTTCCAGTTTTCCTAGAAGTTTTTGTCAAATAGTGAGTTATTGTCCCCAAAGCTTGTATTTTCAAGTCTATCAAACATTAGATTAGTATGATTATTTACTGTTGTATACTATCTACCTAATCTGTTCCACAGATCCACCACTCTTATTTCTTAGCCAGTACTACCTTGTTTTGATAATTACCACTTTGTAATACAGTTTGAGATCTAGTGCGACTAAGCTACCTTCCTTCACATATTTTTTTCATTGGTTCCCTTGATATTCTTGACCTTTTATTTATCCAGATGGATTTTATTGTTTTTTTCTAGGTCTATAAAATAATGTTTTTGTAGTTTCATTGGTATGGCAATAAAAAAATTAATTGAGGTAGAATTGTCATTTTTACTATACTGGCTTAGCCTACCCATGAGCAATTAATATTTCTCCAATTGTTTAGATCTGACTTTATGTGTGTGAAAAGTGTTTTATAATTGTGTTCATATAGTTTCTAGTTTTGCCTTTGCAGGCAGACTGCCAAGAATTTTATATTATCTATAGTTATTTTAAATGGAATTTCTCTTTCTATCTCTTGCTGTGGACTTTGTTGTTAATATAAAGAAATGTTGATTGTATATGTGGATTTTTTGTATCTTACAATTTTGCTAAAGTTGTTAATTATTTCAACTAGACGTTTGATGGATTCTCCAAGTATACCATCATCTCAACTTCAAAAAACAGTAGTTTTGTTTCCTCATTGCCTATTCAAATTCCTTCAATTTCTTTTTCTTCTGTTATTGCTATGGCTAGCATTTCTAGTCCAACATTAAATAAGAATGGTAATAATGGTCATCCTTGCTTTACCCCTAATCTTAATGGGAAGCCTTCTAGCTTATCCCTATTACCGATAATGCTTGCCAATGATTTTACACAGAGCTACTTAATCATTTTAAGGAAAGCTCCATTTATTCTTATGCTTTCTAATATTTTTAATAGGAATGATTGTCACATTTTGTCAAAAGATTTTTCTTCATCTGTTGAGATAATCATATGATTTCTATTGATTCCATTATTGATATGGTCAATTATGCTGATACTTTTCACAATATTGAAACAGCAATGCATTCCTGGTATAAATCCCACCAGGTCATAGTGTATGATCTTTGTGATATATTGCTATAATCTCTTTGCTAGTATTTTATTTAAAAGTTTTGCATCAATATTCACTAAGAAAATCGATCTATGATTTTCTTTCTCTGTTTTTGCTCTTCCTTGTTTAGGTATCAGCATCATATTTGTATCATAAAATGAATTTGGTAGAACTACTTTGCCTATTTTTCCAAATAGTTTTTATACTATTGGAATTAATTATTCTTTAAATATTTGGTAGAATTTATTTGTGAATCCATCTGGCCTAAAGGATTTTTTCTTAGGAAGCAGCTTATCTTTTATGTAGTCCGCTTGTACATATTTGTTTGCATGTTATCTTCTCCATCAGATTGCAAGTTCCATGAGTTTAGGGACAGTCTTTTACCTTTCTTTGTATCCCTACCTCTTAACACCATGCCTGACACATAATAGTTGCAGGGAAGGTTGTGTTGGGTTATAAAAGCTAAGGAGAGGAGTTCATATTTTATTCTGGAGGCAAAAGAGAGGAACTAGAGATAACTGAGTAAGAGAGTCACCTGTCAGATCTGGAATTAAGGAAAATTATGTACATACCATCTAGAGAATGGAGAAGAATGTACTTAGAATAAGTACACTTCATCTCCTGAGAGATTTGAGAGCAAGGACATCCAAGAGAAAGTGACTGCAATAATCTTAGAGATGAAAAAGACATGAATTAAGAATAGTTGTATGAGTAGAAAGAAAGGTTCAAATGCAAGAGATATCATGAAAGTAGAAATGGCAAACTTTAGCAACTGAGTAGATATGTGGGGTAAGGGAAAGTGAGAAGACCAGGATAATGCCAAAGTTAGAATCTGGTAGACCAAGACAGTTGTGGGTGACTGAGGCAGAAATAAGGAAGACTAGATGAGATTAGAGTTTGAGGAAAAAGTCAATGAGTTCATTTTTAGACATGTTGGGTTATAATGTTGCCAGTGCATCTAGTTTGAAATGCGCAATAGTCAATTTGGTAATAATGGACAGAAATTCAGGGGAGAAACTGGGGATATATGGAGTCTAGGAGTCACCTGCATAGAGATGACAGTTAAACCCATGGAATTTAAGGAGATTACCAAGGGACTG